TTTGAGCAACCGTGGCATCTACCATTTGGTATGCTGCAACATTATGCACTATCCTAAATTTATCTCGACTCCTCGGTGCATAAAATCGTATGAAAATATTAATGTGAGCTATATCTAAATCTGAACCGATTTCAAAAAAAAAAAAACATCGCATACATCAATCTGGACCTAATTCAGTACTCCGTTCAAAATTTTCTTTCAATCGGGCCAATATTGGGAGCTTGGTGCACCATTTACCTAAAATCGGACGAAACTATATATGGGAGCTATATCTAAATCTAAACCGATTTCAACAAAACATTGCATATACCAATCTAGACCTAATTCAATATTCTGTGCAAAATTTTGTCTCAATCGGACCAATATTGTGAGTTTTGTGCCCCATTTACCATAAATAGGACCAAACTATATACGGGAGCTATCTAAATCTGAACCGATTTTCTTCAATTTCAATTGGGTTCGTCCTTAGGCCAAATAAATGAGCTGTGCCAAATTTCATCCAAATCGGATCATAAATGCGACCTGTACTTTGTTAACAAAAATACATCGACGGTCGGTCGGACGGACATGGGCAAATCGACTCAGAAAGTGATTCTATGCATATTCTCAAAAGGAACCATGGGTTTATCTCGATTCTTTTTGCCTGTTACAAACATATGCACAAAGACATAACACCCTGTACCACAGTGTGGTGAAAATTTAAAATCAGGTGACAATCCAAAATCCACACAACAACATTTACATGTTTGTAAATAAAATTGGGACAGTATTATACTTACAACAAAACGTCAGAATATTGTAAAATCGATTGCTGTTAGGTCTGCTCCCTTTCTTTTTTCAATGTTAAACAATCTCAATAATCTAAAATCCAATCTGAGAATGCAGAGAATACATACAAAAAAAAAAAAAAAAAGTTCGGGAACGGAAACCCATTGAAAATTTCAAATCATCCATCATCAATCCACACATCAGGCAAGCAGATGTTGGCATTTGTTTCTATGGTATATACATATATTGGTTATGAGAACACATTTTTTTATTCTAGTCTTTTAAATTTGTTTAAAGCTTTTATGGTTTCGTAGTAAGGGGACGCTTTTCTTGCAAAATTTTTAAAGGCAGTACAACATAGTATTATGTACACAGCTCGACTAACTCTATTTTTGCAAAAATCGTAAATTTCAGTGCATTTTATATGTTTAATATCTTTCCTGTATAATAAAAATTTGCACCGTTTTCTTTATAAAGGAACTTTAATTTTATTTCTAATCAGATAATTAAATCGTAATTGTTGTTTAATCAATAATTGCCAACTGTTGATATTTGCCAACAGTTGTGAAAAACAAACTTTGGGAAATTTTGGATTGATAGACTTTTAAGCAATTATTACTTCAAGTATGTATACAAACACACATACATTCAAAATTATTGAAGTGACAGACTTTTAAGCATTATTAACTTAAGTAATTTTATAAATAATCATAATTGTCAGCAAATGTCCTAGTAATAATACAGTCCATTTGTTATGTTAACTCATTGAGGAGGGCCACTCGTCTGTGTATGGTTACGACGAAATACAAGTAAAAGTTTATTTAAGTGGTAGCAAAGTGTTTGCTAAAACTATTTTTATTACGATTCGTTTAAAAATAAATTATCTTCGTGACTTTCTTAGATTTTTTCAAATTAGTTGTTATCACTGACTGTATCATGTCTATGTTAAGTTAATCATCTTGTTATAACTACTCTATATAAAAAAGGGACTTGAAACAAAGAAAAACCTATTTGCCTTGAATGTTTGTAGACATGTGAGCTTAATAGTTATAAAACTTACGACGTTATGTCTGCACACGAATGTGACAGAATAACATTGTATGTATGAAATACTTATATTGCTTTTGCTGCTTTTATGATACCACTATGGGTACTTGAGTATGAGTTTCAACTGAAGTACAATGTAGGATAACAGAAAATAAATAAAAGAAACAAAAATTGGAAATAGTCGCCTATAAGATATACTACAGAGCATTTATTGTAAAAATATTATGATTAAGTATTTCACTACAAAAGTTTTTAGTTTTATAGAAAATATATTATGAATGACACCACATATATATATATATATATATATATATATGACTAAGTTCCTCATTTCCCTACCTTCGTGCTAAAGTAAAAGTAGTAGCCTACAAAATAAGGAACGTACTCCTTATGTATCTTTTTTCGAAAAAATTTTTCATCTACCTTTAAATGATTTTGAAATTTCTTTTAGTTTCAATGCACAATCACGAATTTCCAAAATAATATATATATCTTGTGTATTTAGTATGTACGGCTTCAGAGTAATTCTGATCCGAAGGTGGAAATTTTGTGCGATCAAATTTCTAAAAAAAAACTATTTTTCCGGTGAAATTTTTATATCTGTCATTTGATTAATATGGGTATCCGCGATCAGTAAGTTTTTTACGTTCCGGATAAAATTAAATGGAACGCACTGAAATAAGTATTTGTTTAGGGTGCACACCGAAATATTCGCGTTTTACGAGTTTTTGGGTACTTCAATGCAACATGTAGTACATCTTAGAACCGCATGCGCATCAAATGATTTTGAGGATTACACGATTTAGGCGCAATTTAAAATGTTTTATTTTAAGATTTATTCCTATTTATAGAAGATAGATTTTCGGAAGGGTCTTGCTATCATCCGCAAGGAGCATACTTATACACAAGATGTGAATATTTTTATATTTGTCAATTTTTTGGTGAAATTGGGGAAAAATAGAAGACCCACATTTTTTCTGAAATTTCTTGTATAAAACCAAAAACAAATAATTTTCATTAATATCTTGTTTTATTGTCGCTGTAATTTACAAATCGCTTCACAGACTTATATATATATATAAATATATATTTTTTTCGTGATTATTATAATATATTCATATTCTTATTTTACGAAGGAACGTTTTTGTTCAATATAATTAACGGCGTATTTTTAAGATTTTTTTCTTATTCCCAAAATTAAAACCTTGATAACATTTGCGCGCATCAGCCAAAAATTTGATCGCGAACGGATTCGGAGTCAGGAAATTTTTTCTTATTGACGAAAACAAAAATGCCGATTTTTTGAAAATGGGATATTAAAAATTTTGACAATATTGCCCATATATATCGTAGACCCGTTATAGTTGATATATATTCTTGATCGGAATATAACTCTATGTCGATTAAACCATGTCCGGTTGTCTTTTGAAATTATGATATTAATATTTAACATACATTATTCCAAGGAACTTAGGTGTTGAAGATTTTAGTCCTAATCCATGTCACTGCAATTTGGCATACTTATGCAATTTGGCATACTTATGCAATTTGGCAGGCTATGCAAGTGGTGCCTGGCGCCATTGGACATTTTCATAAGAAATGGGAAATATTTTGACATAAACTTACTCAGTACAAGTTGAAGTACGACTACATGTTATGCTCTTTTCAGAGACTTTAAAAATTAATTTGTAAAAAATGCAATTACCTTGTGGACATTTTTATATTAAAATATTTTATAACATTCGACGTGTATTATCTCGACTACATAAATCATTGTATGCCGATGAAATAGCATTGCATACATTATGAAAATAGGTTTTTATGGATTCAGTAGTGGATGATGGTGGTTCCATTATTTGGGATCTATACAAAAATTAAGACCATATATTGAAGAAATTAATATGCATAAATATATTTTATGAGGTGGCTACCGACATTAAAGTTGTTATTACACGCAAAGTGTAGTTCACTTATACAGTCATATCTCAGTAAATTGAGATATAAATTATACTTTAAATAACGCCAATAAAAATCTTTTCAAATAGAAATTGATTAAATTTACTATTCACACATAAAAATGCTGACATCAATGTAAAGCCTAAAATGCCAAAATTCAATTTTAATCTGTTACTAATAAATGACCGAAAAAACACACAATATTTTGTACAACAGAAAGGTGTAGCGCCAATTAACCTCTTGAAAATAAACCATATTTTAGATATTCGCAAATAATTTCGAACATCTATTCGCAAATTTACTGTCTTCGGATAAACAACACAAACAAATTGTATCAATAATAAATAAACAATTTAACGGTAGAGACAATCCGCAGTGGGACGGACGGTCGATACAAGTGCAAAGCTATTAAGTTCGATTTCATGTTATTTTCGGGTATTTTTATTCAAGTGTAACAGCCATTCATCATCCAACATCGACACTCGGTGCGAATAATAGAAGCATTGATTTTTTTATAGCGTAGCATATTTCTATTGTTGTTCTTGAAAAAAGCCAAACCGAAAAAAATACTCTTATGAATAGTTTGATATTGGGAGTCATTCAAGAGATTTAAACAATCATAATAATAGTAAAAAATTAATATTAAAGAAACAAAAATATGACCAACTAAAGCTTTGAAAATCTGTGCGAGATGTACTTTCGTTTTCTGCGACAATCAATGTCGACCGCCTAGTCGCCACCGTTACCGCGTTGGTGACCAACGCCACCACCAACATCGTTTTGGTGCGTTTTGTGTAGTTATTAAATAATTGTCAATTGTTCATCCTATCAATCATTTTGATCAAAAAGTGAAATTAAAATCTCATTTATGACTTGATTTTGATTTTTTTTTTTGGAATTCAATAGTCAATCAATTGTCCGAACACCTTTGCCATTCATTGCTTCTCGAAGTGCTGCTGATATTTCATGTGTGTTGTTATTACTAATTTGGCAAGCTGTGCGAACAGATTGTGTTGAACAAACGGCCGTACGCACGCATTGAAATTCAAAACCATTAATTTGAAATATCCAACATCTATCGTATGTTAGTAATTAAATGTGAATATGTGTTAAAACGTGAAAAATTCTAATTTATATAAATTATAATATTGAAAAGTGAATGCAATACATGTGAATAAACAAATATTTTTGTTATCATATACAACTTCAATTTCATAGAAACAGAAAACATAATGGTAGAAAAAACAGGTGAGCGTGTTAATTAATGATGACATAGTAAAAAATGTATAACCTTTGTAAAGTTTACAATGACAATTTGAAACATTTATTAACTCCATTAATGAGGTAAAGTGGATAATTTGAATAAGGAAATATGGAGAGTGACAAGTAAAAAACGATATCTGATATCGATGGCATGAATTAGCGGCATATCTACAAAAATATAGAGATTGCATGTTCTGCATGTTCTAAAAACCAGTAAAGTCTCACGGGGCCGACTATGTAATACCCTTCACCACTATGGGTATATTAAACGAATGCATCCTAACAGAAGGGTCATTAGCATGAAATTGGATGAACTAAAATATGTGACCTTTATCTAAATGTGAACCGACTTAGGTCAATCCATAAACATGTTATTCGTTTGTTACAATGGGTCAAAATTATGTAAATCGATTTAAACAAATATTAAAAATATCAAAATGCTCAAATATGTACGTTGTGCAAAATTTCATGTCAATATTACAAACATGAGGAGTTTGGTGCATCATTTATTTAAGGGAACCCCCCCATTCCCGATTTTAATTTTTCAAGATTTTCAATGGGCTGGTAAATCAATACCAATGATTGTTAAGGTTTGTAACTTTACACATATATAATTGAAGATTTAAAAGAGAAGAAAAATAATTTACAAAACAATTTTGTTATAGTTTTGTTGTTATCTTTTGTAATTAAAGAAAAGTCCTTATTTTCGATGGCGGGCATCCAACGGTGTTAGAAAGAGTACATGTCTGGCTCTCGTATGAACTAGAATTATTGACTTCGCTCTAAAATTAACAAAATGGCGGACCTTTGAAAAAATATTTTTGGAAAATCGCCGATTTTTTACCAAAACCCAAGTCAAAAAATAAGGAAGATCTTCACCGATTGGCTTTATCCTAGTTCATAGAGAAACGTGTAAAAATTTGAAGTCGATTGGGTTATTAGTTTTTGAGTTATCGTGCCCGCCATTCGCAAAAAAAAATGTTTAGAGAAAAACGCGTTTAAAGTTTGAGAAGCCCTTCAACCGTCACTTGATGCAGACACAATAAATCGGTTATACCTTCAAGACTTCTTGAGATTTTCATTTGAAATTTTGTAGGGACATTCTTTAATTAGTGCAGATTCGAATTATATCAACAAAGTTTTTGACCCCGAGAATGGGGGGTCCCCTTAAATTGGATAGAAAAAATGAACCGATTTTAATAATTTCAGCAGGTTTTGTTCCTAATGGCCATATATGAGAGCTATATATGAATCTGAACCGATTTTCAAGAAATTTTACACATATCATTCTAGACTCAATTCAGTACGCTATGCCAAATATCGTGCAAATCGAAAGATATATAGTGAATTTGGCATACCATTTACCTAAAATCGTGCGAGACTATATGGGAGCTATATCTAAATCTGATATGATTTTCACAAAAAATTCTAGACTTAATTCAGTACGCTATGCCAAAATGTGTGCACATCGAATTATTTTCAGGGACACTGGTGCACCATTTACCTAAAATCGGGCGAAACTATATATATATTTTACACACATCATTCTAGACACAATTGAGTACACCTTGTCAAACTTCGTGCAAATCAGAATATATTTAGGGACTTTGGTGCACAATTTACTTAAAATCGAACGAAAATATATACAAGAGCTATATCTAAATCTGAACCGATTTTCATGAAACTTAGCACCCGTCATTCTAGACTTAATTCAGTACGCTATGCGAAAATTCGTGCAAAATTTTGCTTCAATCGGAACAATATTGGGAGTTTGGTGCACTATTTACCTTAAATCGGACGAAACTACATAGGGGAGCTATATCTAAATCTGAACCGTTTTTTTTCAATTTCAATAGGGTTCGTCCTTGGGCCAAATAAGTGACATGTGCCAAATTTCATCCAAATCGGATCATAAATGCGACCTGTACTTTGTTCACAAAAATACATGGACGGACGTACAGACATGCATAAATCGACTCAGAAAGTGATTCTATGCATATTCTCAAAAGGAACCATGTGTCTATCTCGTTTCCTTTTGCCTGTTACTTACGTTTCCTTTCGCATGCACAAAGACATAATACCCTGTACCACAGTGTTGTGAAGGGTATAAACACACACACACACACACAAATCTTTAATAGTGTAAGCATTATATATTTACTATTTACACTTCTTAAAAATATAGAAAGACAAATTTACAAAAAGCATAAAATAATTGTACTGTCCACGTATATGAAAGTGGGTCATTTTGAATGAAACACAATAATTCTTTGAACATATATACGAACGAAGGATGGTAGGTACAATAACAAGAGGTAGGTTAATGGTACCTGTTGATTCATTTTTTATTTTTATTTTTGCGCATAGCCCCATATATCGTTAGGTACTTTGATCATTTTAATCGGCATGTTCAAGGTCCTATCATAACGTGAGTTTTCTCCTAGGAAAACAAAATAACTTGTTGGATATGTTTATATGTAAATATGATATTATTGTGCATGGATGGTAGTTTATTAATTTGAATTAAGTTTCATGTTTAAAGTCTAAATGCAGTGAAATTCAAGTTGATTTTGTGCAATAATACCTCTTTTAGTTAAAGGGGGATAATGAACATTTTATTTCAAGGGGACCCACCCCCATTCTCGATTTATTTTTTTATTATTTATAAGCGGCTAGCAAATGGACGTGCATTACATTGAAGTTGTTTCTGTGATTAACGAAAAGTCCTTCTTTTCGACGGCGGGCATAATTTCTTATTACTGGAACGTTCGATTTCAAACCGGCATTCGAAGGCTGTGGTATGAACTAGGATTATTAACTATGCACAGAAATTAACAAAATGGCGGACATTTGAAGTAAGGACGATCATGATCGATTGCATTTATCCTAGGTCATACCATGGTAAGTTCTGTCAAAACAAAAACTCAATTATTACATGTTTATATCGTCATCATAAATGCAAACGGACGTAACTACAGAAAAATTCGAAATTGATTTTTTGTTTGATTATTGTTCGTCTAATAAAACTACATTTCCACACACAAATTTAGACATCTAACGTCAAAAACAGCGATCTAATTAAAGAAATTCAAACGGACTTAACTACAATAGTATGTTTTTATACCGGTTCAGATTTAGATATAGCTCCCATATATATTTTCGTCCGATTTTAGGTAAATAGTCCACTATATCCCTGGAAACATTTTGATTTGCACGAAATTTTGCATAGCGTACTGCATTAAGTCTAAAATGACGTGTGCTAAGTTTCGTGAAAATCGGTTCAGATTTAGATGTACATCCCATATATATTTTCGTCCGATTTTATGTAATTGATGCATCAAAGTCCCTATATATCTTTCGATTTGCACGAATTTCGGTATAGGGTACTGAATTAAGTCTGGAATGTTGTTGCTAGGCCGATTGACACAACGTACTGAAGTAATATAAATTAGTCTCTGGCAAGTTTCCCTGAAATCGGTTCAGATATAGATATATAACAAACACGTCGGACTCTCAGACTTTACTACTTTCCTTACTGGTTAAAATTTGGAACGGATTAATAGTTTTCGTCACAGCCATTTATAAAAACCATGTTTCGTGAAAAACGTGTTTAAAGTTTGAGAAACACTTCTGTCGTCGCTTGATGCTGACACAATAAATCGGCTACACTTCAAGAGTTGTTTAGATTTTCACTTGAAATTTTATGTGGACATTCATGAATTTGTGGAGGGTAGAATTAAATAGTATTTAATGTAAATTAGAGGAACTTCGGGTAATGTGGTCTAAGCGTATAATGTGGACCCTGTCTCTGTGGACCAATTTAAAAGGCTTGAAATATGGCAATGCCGCTATGCCGATATATGTTTCCTAATAAGTGAAAAAAAATCATCTAACATGATTTTGAATACATATTTGTAATGTTGAAAAATTAGATAAGCTCTTATTGAAATCTGAACATTTTTTAGCACAATAGTCAAACAATTCGTTTTTCTCAAATAAAAGAATTTATTTTTCTTTATTTTCCACAACAAAAATGTAGGTTTAGCTGTAATTACAATCGGTAAGTTTTTATTTATTTTTTAAGGCGAAAATTATTTTAATGGAAAAACGCGAGCTTTTCATGGGGACTAGTTCGAATCATGGGCACACATAAAAGATATTTTTGCGAGGCGGTATTCTACCCTCTGAAAACTCGATATGCTAAATTATAGCTGCTCCGGTGGGATAATGAAGCATTTTTGCATTCATTGTTATCCAAGATTGAAATAAATATACACAGTCAATCTACAACCTATTTTTTTTTAAATTATTTCACCGTTTTGAGTGTTTTTTTTAAATAACGCAATAATATTTTTATAGACAAATATATATAATGCTTGTCCTAGAATATATTATAGCATATCTACTAAATCGTGAAAACAGTTTGTTGTTATTTTTTACCTTTGTTACGCCAAAAATATTAAAAATTGTAGTCCACATTACCCTATGTTCCTCTAGGTTGTCGTTGAAATTGAGAAATATTCAATAGTTTCAAATTCCTAAAATTATCCACAGGCAAGGATGTCAGGATGCCAATATTTCACCACCAATGTTTTATTTCAATAAGGGGCTCAAAAAAAAAAAAACATATTAAAACAATGTTGGAAGGAGGGAAAGCCCCTTAAAACGAAAGTTGTTCTCTATTGTGGAAAATACTTAATTTTTGCAAATTTATACAGAAAAAATATTTATTTTTCGGAAACTATTATAGATTATGCATTTATGGTTTTTTGCTGATTCAACCCATCGTGTTTCACAATATGAATGTAGTCGTTTGAAACATTCTACATAAAGTAGCAGACCTTTTTGAATTTTCTAAAGAATGAGCAAATGTCCAATGTTTAATGTGAGCATGTGAAAGAATAATAAATGTATACGACAGAAATTAATTTTGATTTAATAATGATCTGCACTCCATTATAATTTCCTGGCATGTTAGACGCTCCGTCATGGGGATCCAAAACCAAATTGATTAATTTGTTTATTATGACGGTCGAAGATTCTTATCCTGTTAATATTTCTAACTCCATGTAGCAAAGGAAACATTCTTTGACTTTTTTAGATAAAATTCAGAGATATTTGGTACCCAATAAGAACCCAATGTACCAAATTTCAGCCAATTCGGTTGAAAATCGCGCTCAAGAACCTCAAAATACCGAAAATTGGGGGTGCTCTAATATGGGGCCTACCAGAAAAAATTCAAAAATATTTGGTACCCAATAAGAACCCAATGTACCAAATTTCAGCCAATTCGGTTGAAAATCGCGCTCAAGAACCTCAAAATACCGAAAATTGGGGGTGCTCTTATATGGGGGCTACCAAAAAAAGTGGGCCGATATTTATAATTTTTAGTAGAGATATTTGGTACCCAATAAGAACCGAATATACCAAATTGCAGCGAATTCGGCTGAAAAGCGAGCTCAAGAACCCCAAAATACCGAAAATTGTGAGGTACCCTTATATGGGGGATATCTGAAAAAATTGACCTATATTTATAATTTTTTTTGTGGAGAGATTTGGTACCTATTAAGAACTCAAAATACTAAATTACAGCCTATTCGGTGGAAAAAGACGACAAAACCCCCAAAATACTGAAAATTAGGAGGTAACGTTATATGGGGGCTACAAGAAAAAGTGGACCTATATTTATAATTTTGTGTGTATACATTTATCGATAATTTTAGTTAAATAGTTACACATGTGCACTACTGAATGGATTTTCGATTATTACTGCAATATTACACTCCAATTAACATCAACTACTCAAAATAATCAACAATTAAGTGCGTACAACAATATAATATCACGATCAGAAATTAAATGAAGTGGTTTTTATAGTTAAGAGGTATGTTTTAGCGACAATCGTCATGTAACGTATGCGTCAACAATTATTATTATCGGCCCACGTTTTAAAAATAATTGTTCATTAAAATAAATATTATGAGTTTTCAGTGTTTAGAAAGCCTTCATACGAATTATTGTTATAGGACTTTTACATTGAACCGGATTTCGTTAACCCAGTGGGTTTCAATTGTCAAATCCGGTAAAAAGTTCTAATGTACAAACAGTTTTATATCTGTTCATGTTTACGAATTGTACCAATATAGGGTGCATCCCAATTTCTTTTTTTTTCGATTTTGAACAAGCTTCACAGCTGAAATTTTCTGTTATTTGATTTCTTACCAGGAAACGGAAATTAGTACTATAGGTTGAGGTTTTGGCACAGCCTATGTATAGATTTACTAAAAATTTCACTCCTATTTATTAATGTATTGGTCCGACATTTTTCACCATCGAATTTGCCTCATATCGAGAAAAAATATCATGATGGGATCAAAACCTTTATTCCGAAAAGACACACTATTCATTGTTTCCAATTGTATATATCATACATTGGTCAGCAAGAATATACTACTTTTTACTTCGATAACGAATTTTCCTTTGTGATATCGAAGAAAATAGTAAATTCCAGTAGAATCTTGCAGTATGGGAACAGGTCATATATTTATGAAATGTATTTGCTGAAAATTCCTTACTTCGAAAAAGAGTCTCATAACATATATCTATAATATTTATTTAAATAAATAAATTTTTGCTAAAAAATGGAAACTGCGGCTCCAAAAGAAAATAGTAAGAATCATTTAGAATTAATATAATTTATAATACAAATATTATGTACATACATACATATGTGGTAATAAATTCGTATATTTTTATTCCAGAAATGTCAAAATTTGTTGGAATATCGGATATAACGGAAAACAAGAAAATATGGCGTGTACTATTTGGCGAAATGATTGGAACATTCCTACTGATAGTGATTGGTGTGGGAAGCTGTGTCGGCTTTGAAGATTGGTCTCCGTCAGTACCACAAATTGCTCTAACTTTTGGATTGACTGTTGCAACTTTAGCACAGGTTTGCTTGTTTTATTTCTATTTAAAATGTTCGCCGATCATATCGTTGTTCTTTTCTATGCACTTTCAGACATTCGGACACATTAGTGGATGCCATATAAATCCGGCTGTTACTATGGGATTTTTGGTTGTTGGGGAAATGAGCTTGTTGAAAGGATCTTTTTATATTGTCGTCCAATGTATTGGTGCAATTGCTGGCTCGGCAGTCTTAACTGTAGGTCTTTTGAAGTGAGTCTATTCTTAAAATTCTTAATGTGTTTTCAAAATTTTCAGATTGCAATTCCCCAATCGGTGGCCGGTGTTGGATTGGGTGTGTCGTCTGGCTCTCCTTCTCTTACAACTACCCAATGTGTACTCATAGAAGCAATAATAACTTCTATATTAGTATTGGTCGTTAAGGCTGTATCGGATCCCAAACGTAAAGATATAAACGGATCAGCTCCACTGGCAGTGGGATTATCTATAGCAGCAGGCCATTTATGTGCGGTAAGATGAAGGAAAAAAATACAATTTGTCAAATTTAATTGAATGTGGTATATGATTGTTTCTTATTATATTATATAATAATTATTTATTTAGATTAAATTAACTGGAGCAAGCATGAATCCAGCCCGTTCATTTGGACCAGCTGTTGTTCATGGATTATGGGCAAATCATTGGGTGTACTGGGCAGGACCAATGCTTGGTAGTTTGGTGGCCGCATTTATATACAAAATATTCTTTCAAGTACGCAAAGGAGATGATGAAGATAACTCATATGATTTTTAAGTATTATATATTTTTATTTATATTAATTGTAGCTCATTATTGCAAATATTTACAAATTTGCACATCATATTTTTGTTGTATTACTATGAAATTTATTAAATAAATTGTTTTCCGTAGAAATTACCATTTTTTTATATACTATCTGAAAGCGTTTTGATTTTAATTAATCGAGAGCTTGGAGGGTTGTAGTTTTGTATCTCTATAGCCCCGAAGGTAGTATGATTACAACAGACAGATGGACGGAAATTGTAAAATCTTCGTAGAATTCTATTCTTTATAGGATATCATCTGGCAATGGAACACACGGAACGAATCAGTTAACTATAAAATGGGATTTGGTGAGGAGATTTACTACCCAATTGAAACTTAAGGTTGAAAAGCATGCAAAAAATTCCCAAAATACCGTTTTGGTAGGGGACACTTTTTTCTTTCAAGCCTTATAAAAGTTTTTATTTTATAATTTATGATTTCTTATAAATTTTAACTAATAGGTACATATGTAACCTTTAAAATGAATATACATATGACATACTTTAAGCTTGATAAATATATTTTATTACTGTTTTACAGTCAACTTCGTAATCTTATTAGCCCATTGAAAAATTTGAGAAATCGAAGCCAAAAGTTAAAAACTCCGTTTTTTTCTGGAGTTTATTGGGCATGTTCAAAGGTGCCCCACCTGTGGCATTATGTGGCATATCGTTAGCTAAAATGCAAAAAGGCGTAACTAACAAAAACATAATTGTGTAGGAGAAGCAAAAAACTGTTTTGAATGAAAACTATAAACATGTCATGTGAAATGAAAAAGTGTGCCCGGCAGGGTGATTTTGCATATGACGAATAATAGACTATAATTGTAAAAACGTGAATTTTTTGTTAGTTACGCCTTTTTGCATTTTAGTTTACGATATATGAAAGAAAATACATTAGTTATGTTTGAAATGATTGTTGGAATGCAAAAAAATGGTTTATCGAAAGAAAACGATCACCGAATTCTTCCTGCGCCCTTACAACCAAAAGATTAAAAGTTTACAATTGCACTGCGAAAACATGGTCATCCATGCACAATTTGTGGACAACTGAAAAAGCTAGCAAAGATGGTTTACGCAGATAGAGATCAAGATTGCCATGTGGTTGCAGGTCGGAACAATTTTAAACCGAGATTTTAAGAGCGCTGTTCAAAGGGCCCCACGTTCAAAGGTGCCCCCTCTCCCCTACGCTTATATGGGAGCTGAACCAAAACGTTGACCGGTATATTAAATATAAATATTAAATACCAAACATCCTAGGGATAATAAAAATGTATTTCCAAAATTTTAAAACTATCTTAAATATTGCGAACTTCGATTTGCTCGATTTTACTCACGAGTGGTAGTACGCAAATATCCACTCTTTAGTAGATTGTAATAGAAAACGGATTACGATGTTAATATTTTGTTTGCTGTGATGGGGTTCAGAAAAGGAAAACCACACAACACAAAACTAACAAATCTCAATGTAACGACTAATAAGCAAACCATATCACAAATACTGAATTCTGCTCGATTTCGATCGTGATATAAACACTAGAAATCCAGCGATTTACACGCGCTCATATTGGAGTTACTAAAAACATACATAATAAAAATTGAGTTTATTTTTTTTCTTACAACTTGACTCTTATTATATTTTTTTATTACTGAAATAAATGTGTTCTTTTTTTGAATTTTGTTAAAATTTGAATTATAATTTATTCAAAAATATGAATAAAAACAAGTTTGTTATGTTCGGCAGGGCCGAACTTTTTTCTATCCACCGTACGGTGCATAGTGAAATACTTAAAATCGATTGGCATTTTTATAATAACACCCGTATAAAAGTCCCGATCGATATAAAGTATTTGATTGGTAAATTATTGCTGAGAGAAAATTAAATATGAAACAAGAGGCAATTAAAAATTTGGGCTACGACGGCATCGGAGCACATTCGACAATCGCGTTTTCGATATGAAGCTCTGACTGTACATCATTAGCTTCAATACATAGGTATCGGATATCAAAATAAATAACTGTCGCAAAGTTTGAAATCTCTAGCTAATCAACTTTTTTAGATGCACGTTTTTTTACAGATGTTTTTGTAATATTTCCATTCAATTTCGTAAGTATTTCGTGTATAATTTTTTTGATATTTCAAGGCAGTATTATTAAAGAGTCGTTATTTACAATGTATATTCTTACAAAAAAAAAAATAAATAATATTTTTTGAAGAATGATAGAAAAAAATGAAAAAAAAACTATAAAAATATCTTTGGGGTACATTCGGCATTTTAAAATAGGACACATTATACAGATAGTGCTATATTATTTCTTTATATATATATATATTTTTTTTTGTATGAAGATTGGACACCCAATGAAAACCCAAAATATCAAATTAGAACCAAATGTTCTGCTTTTCCACCAACCTCAATGTATTCTCTAGTCCCTTAAAAGGTTGTGGGATCCACACTGAGGTATCACTTTGTATAAGGTGATCTGGCCAAACCATAGCACTATAGGTCAAACAGACAATTTTACTGGCCAAAAGTCGAATTTCACTTATTTTGAGTTACAATCGAGTAAGGAACACTTCAAAACAAATAAAAATGAATTTTGTTTTTGCATAATCACTTATACCGTTACATGGCAAGCTGTCAAACGTGAATTATTAAAATATAATAAAAAATGTATTCATTTGGTATGTTACTTGTTAAGATTTAAAGTGGAAATAAAATATAAGTATAACTATAAGTAGAGAATTAATAAGAAAGTATTCGATATTTTTTATCATAAAATGTATCCATACATATGTGTATGTGTACAAGTAGTATTAAAACAAGCGTAACTTTAGATTTATCGTAGAAATTTTTAAACTTTGAGGTTATGAATGCATTAAATCCGTGGGCAACGTTTGGCAATTGAAATTAAAATTGATATTTGTTTATTGAAGCGTGTTTAATGTAAATAACCTATTGTGGTTTTGCGGATTTGTGCGGGTTTTTTAGTTATTGCCATTTTTTTATTTTAACCCTTTGAGCCCCGAATTTTTTCCGTAATCTTAGAACAAATTTCAGTTTGCAGATTTAATGCAACTATCCTAAATAGGATATGCACAAAATTTGACATCGCTACATCCTTGCATTCGGGAGATACAGTACATTCTTTCAGAAAACTTAAAGTCCAATATCAGGAAAACTAAATGCAAAATCGACAGAAAAATCATTTTAAATTATTCTCTGTATTCATTTTTACAAGAATCAAAAGTAATTCTGATGGCAGAATTCGTACAATTTGAATACGAAGCGATTTAAATAATTTGGACTGTATACACAAATAAGTACTGTACACAAATTTACCCTCTTCTCTATATTGAAAGGCTCATAACTTTACCAAAATGTTGAATTTATTTGATTTTTCTTTTGATATGTGTCGTCCATAATTAGGTCTTGACATATGAAATTCAAATAATATATATCTACTAGCTGCATTTTAAATATAAGCTCTAAAACATTTTGTTGCCTGTGGGCAACATTGGGCCACAAAGGGTTAAACCATTTACCGAAATACTGATTAATTTGAATCTGAAATAACTGGAGTAAAGCTAAATCGCATATTCCGCCTAAAAATTATTTTAATTTTATTATTATGCCAGTTTTAATTAGATTTAAACATATTTCGAACTTATTGTTATGAAACAGTTAATTTAATATTGACGAAATATTTCTGGTTGTCCATGACGCTACAGTCCATAAGGTACAAATTCATTCGACGCAAATAATGGAAATTTGTGTACTTCCATTAGAGGTTCTTGGAGAAGATGCTGCTGAAGCTAGGCATAAATTGTATAAGCCCGACAGGTTACATCACGCTCGTAAGAGCAGCCGAATGAATAACATATTTGATATGTTTGCTAGAGCCTTGGGTACATTAGATCCTTTAATATCATCAATTAGCTTAATCAAACGCATGCAGTGAAAACGTTAAAGCTTGAAATGTTAAAATTTCAAAATTGTATTTATGAATTGAAATCTTTACAACAGATCACATGATAAGAGCGATGAGTTCAATGAAGACGGCCTACAACGTAGGCCACATTTGGTTTATCCACCAACAACTGTCCAATTTTCATAACCTTGGACTTCGGTTTCGACAGTGGGTGGATTTGCAGAGGGAGATTGTGCTTCATAAATTTCTGGGGGCCTTTTTACGGACTCCTCCTCAATTGCAGTGGATCCTCAATTGCAAGGATTAGAAGTTCTAGCCACCAACGTCCCAGTTGTGCTCGGATCACTTACAGTAGTTTCATTTTCTTTAATTTTGCGATTTTCGTGTATTTCATAGAGTTTGGAAGTAGTAAAGTCGTACGGGGCCTACTATAGGATACCCTTTACCACTTTGGCTATATTCAAGAGATACATTCTAAGAGGCCTTGCATTTTTTAAAGACCATTGACATGAAATCAGACCAAATTAAATATGCGATATGTGTCTATATGTGAATCGACTTAACCCTACGATCAATAACCGCGTATATGTATGGAGGGTATATTAAGTTAGTTTTTCCGTTTCTAACTCATCGAAATAAACACCTTTTCAACCCTATAAAGAATAAATATTCTCTATCAGCGTAAAATTTTATGACGATATCTCTATCGCCCAAAATTTTGCATAGAGTTGTCTTTTGTCTGCAGACAGGTCAAATTCGAAGATGAACTATATCGGTCCACGTTTAGGCACATCCCCCATATAATGGTACCACTTAATTTCCATATTTTGGGGTTTTTGAACCGACTATCAAGCGAATTCGCTGAAATTTGGTGCTATGGGTTCTTATTGTGTAACATATGTCTACACTAAAAATTATAAATATCGGTCCATTTTTTCTGGTATAACCCATATTTTCCGGTATTTTCGGTATTTTGGCACACCTTAGGCTATCCTAACTTCAGCATCTTGTGCAAAATGTGCCATTCGGCCTAAATTTCACTCTTTGGTGCACCATTTGTATCACAGT